CCACAGCCCGAGAGATGTGCAAGTGAAATTGCAGAATTTTTCACAGCGCTTTAGGTATGTTCACACAAGATTTAAAAGGTACCGTTTAGATATTTGCCCAATGACTTCGGGATATTGTGTCCGAATGGGTAACATGATCCCACAAATGTTTACATACACTTGTAAGCAAGAGTTTTAAAACCTTATATTGTAATTTTCGGACAATAATTTATAAATAAGTATCTATTAATAAATAAATATATTAATTTTTAAACTATATCTTATAGAAAAGATAAAACAGATATGGGTCCTTCCGGTGGGTCGCCTTCCACATGGGTGCACTACATCAGATAATCGGAGCATTCAAGGCAAATATATATACGAAGTTGACGCTTGAAAGCATTGATGGTACGTATGTTTTCGTTCATTTGCAATCATTTGCATATTCATACGATCACATATCGTCCCCCGTCTGCCAGAAACGTGAATGTGTAAATATGAAAGTTTTGGGGAATCAAGTTTGATTTTTTTACCAGACCTCACTCTACATTCATGTAATTGTCATTGTAAAATATGTAGTCTCCGTGCATGCATGGTATTCCAAAGGTTAATCCAGTCAACTCAATAACTCGAAATTGGTAAATTTGCACATTCATGCTTCTGGAAAGAGGGCGACGGAATATGTATGTACGTACATACGTAGCATGGTGGAATTAGACAAGGTGTTAAAAATTTTAGTTTGGAATATCGCTGGCCTCTTCTGATTGAAGAAACTACATATAACCATTTGCATACATATATATGTAAATAATACTGTATTCATGGGCGTAGCCAGGTAGGGGCAGGGGGGCGGCCCGGGCCCTCCCCCCCCTAACTTCCAAATATTTGCCTAGATATTCAAAAATAGTACCACTAAGTGCTTGCTTGATAATTTCGGCCACCCTAACTTTCAAGGTTTTTCCTATATATATACTGTATAACAAATTATACTCCCAACGCCAACAAAATAATTAGTAAGTTGATTTAAAAAGTGGATATGTGGATCATCCGGTTCTATATCAAGTTATTCTCTCTAACTTCAAAGCACTTCCATTTAAAAAGGGTAAAACCTGGCTGCAGTCGACAATGAGCAAAAATAGGCTGACTTCCAAAACGTCAATTGCTTTGCATATTGACAATGTATACTGTTCCAAAACGCAGCCGGAAAGTTATCGAAACGCATCGCTGGAGCAATCAGCGCATCAGAAACAAAGTTGATGCTTCGTTTGTTATTGGTTAGCATTGGTGTTTTAGAAATGGAAAATTCAGAAAAATTGTTCATTGCTATATAGAATATTTAAAATATGCAATGTATATGGTTGCAATGTGTCGCAACTCTGCATATACAAACAGTTTGAATACCGCAGTATAACAGTTTCCAAACATTGTTTTGATACGTTTTGGAAGTCAGCCATAGTTCAATTGTTTATTACTTTGTCTTTAGGTATGTGTCTTTTCTAAGCGTACAACGAAAGTTTTGTATCACAGAACCAATCTGAGATTATTGATAAAACTATAGACCGGTTGGGTGAACAGCCAAGACGTTTACTTCTTAAGTGTGACAAAACAAAATCAAGTAATACACATATTTAGCATAAATGAATATACCTGCATAAAAAATCTGCATACTCAAAATGTTTAACACGGCCTTATATTTATACATACCTATGTATATAACTTAAGAGAAGATATTTCGCTGCAAAGCAATGATTATAAATTATTAGTTTACCTTACAAAATTGCGGAGGAATATTACAGAGTATACTGAAAAAAGTTTATTTTTTTACATTTTTTATTTTGAATAACGCCTGGTCCGGCTATTTGGTTTACTATACAGGTATGTAGAGCTATGATTTTAAAAAATACATCAGGGTTTAGTTGAGATATTCGCTTTTGACCACTATGTTTTGTACATTTCCCAGTACTGCAAAGATTTTGACTGCCATTCACCTGGGCGTGGCCCGCGTACGCTTGGTTTGGGCCCCGCCACGTTAAAACCCTGCCCAATGAAAAAAAACACATGCCTCGGATGATACCCCCTTCTTTTGATAACGATAACGGCAAACATAGGAAGGACTATGATTTTAGGGTATGCACTTGGAACATCCGAACCCTTAATCGGGATGGTGCCTCTGCCCGGCTGGTTGATGTCCTAGGGAAAATAAAGGCTGACATCACCGCCATCCACGAAATGCGATAGACGGGCGAGGAAGGTAAGCGTGGAGCCTTGCGACGTCTACTACAGTTGCCACGTAAAGGAGTGCAATTCGGTGTTGGATTTGTGGTGGGAGAGAGACCGGCGTTCACTCTAGTGGACGAAAGTCTAGCCACAATCCGCATCAAAGCGAGATTCTTCAACATCTCATTCATATGTGCCAATGCTCCGATGGAATAGAGGGACGAGGCATCCAAGGCTCTCTTAGCTTAGAGCGTACATATTAGCTGAGGGTAATCGACTTCGGCGGGGCCCAAAACTTGGCAGTATGTATTACTGGGTGCTAGCATTAAAAGATCCTTCAAGCTACATGGATGTCTCCACATCGAAAAACGGGAAACCAAATCGAGGATGTTGTGATAGACAGAAAGCATGCTTCCATGTTTTAGATGTACATACATACGTACACACCGAGGGCCAAACATCGACGAACCCGAGGTCCCAGTCGATGACGATGGAATCGATATCCCAGCGCCTGACTATGACGAAAAGTGCCAAGGCTGCTTGAGCTGAGGGCTTGTCAGCTGAGCTATTTAATTACGATGGCAAGGAGGTAACAAGGTGCATGCCCGACGACTGGAACTCAAGTGCGCTCTGCCCAATCCACAAGAAAGGCGACCCCGCCATGCGTGCCAACTACCGCAGGATCAGCCTTCTAAGCATAGCTTGCAAGGTCATATTGTCTACCATAGACCAGGTATTCACAATACGCCAAATTTTGGAAAAGACCCGCGATCGGCACTCACCACCTATTTGTCGACTTTAAAGCCGCTTTCGACAGCACTAAAAGGAGTTTCCTATATGCCGCTATGTCTGAATTTGGCATCCCCTCAAAACTCATACGGCTGTGAAAAATGACGTTGAGCAATACCACCAGCTCTGCTCTGTTGCCGTTCGCCACCAGACGGGGTCTCAGACAGGACGACTCTCTATCATGTGACTTCTTTAATCTGATGTTGGAAAAGATAATAAGATCTGCAGAACTGAACTGCTCAGGGACAATTTACTACAAGAGCGTACAATTGCTGGCTTATGCCGATGACACTGACATCATCGGTAAGAAAAACCGCGAAGTCTGTCCTGGCTTTTCCAAGTTGGACAAGGAAGCAAAGAGAATGGGTCTGGTGGTAAACGAGGACAAGACGAAGTATCTCTTATCATTAAACAAACAATAAGCACATTCGTGCATTGTCACTCACGTCACTTTTGTCAGTTATAATTTCGAGAAAGTAGAGAATTTCGTTCGGGAACCAGCATTCACACCGATAATAATGTCAGCATGGAAATCCAACGCAGAATCGCTCTTGCCAACAAGTGCTACTTTGGACTGAGTAGGCAATTCAGGAGTAAAGTCCTCTCTCGACGTACGAAAACCACGCTCTATAAGTCACTCATCATGCCCGTGCTGGTATATGGCGCAGAAGCATAGACGATGACAACGTCCGATGAGGCGGCTCTTGGAGTGTTTGAGAGAAAGATTTTGCGGAAGATTTACGGCTCTTTACGCATTGGCGTCGGCGAGTATCGCAGACGATGGAACGATGAGCTGTATGAGCTTTACAACGACATGGACATAGTGCAGCGAATTAAAATACAGCGGCTCAACTGGCTTGACCATGTCGTTCGAATGGACACCGACGCCCCGCCTTTAAAAGTATTCTGGCTTCACTTGGCATTTCCCATTGGCGTAAGTTGGCCAAATCGCTTTGGCGGTTACAGGGCCAAATAAGAAGAAGAAGAAGAGAATCTATAACCTTATAAGTCACACAGTGTTATAATCCCGACGACGGTGGTACCGGGAGGGGAACGGTACATGACGGTAGGAAGTTTAGTTTGGGTTAAAGTCTCACACTGATGGGGTTAGGCTTTCGATGCTTCCTCCTCGTAGAATAAACATGCTCAGTATAAAGTTAACAATTTAGATCGACGAATATTTTTATATCAACTTTTGTGAACTTCTGTTTATTTTTTTTTGTACAACAAATGGTTACTATGGCGCATATTCATAGTCATATTTAGTCCACAACTAAGTCGAAACTATTTTAAGTCACAACTAAAGCTATTCATAGTCGCCGTAGTTTCGACTTTTCTGGCTAAGTACCAACTTAAAATTTAGTTTCGGCTGCAGCTGCAACTAAGTCGTAACTAGGAAGAAGTATTTTATCAAATTAAGGGAAAACAGACGAAATATGTAAAAATTAAGTTGGTAGAGGGTGATTTTGATAATATTGAATAATCTCCAATTAAAATTTACAAAGATAGATCCATTTTAATCGGAAGATGAAATTAAATGCGTATTACAATTCGAATAAAGCTACATCACAATTTTATAATTGGAATAATTTAGATAAATTCTCAAATAATAAGTCAGTTTCACGCTAGTTCTTTTAAAGTAAATTTGTGCATAACATTTAGATATCTACTATTTGTATGTTTCGCAGCATGCTTTCGATAAACATCGACTTCACATCACTGCGGTTGTTCT